GGACCATCACAGCGGAGCCTGCAAGGATGGAGGATTAGGTAAGTAAAACTGCTGTTCCCAGCCCCCCTATGCATAAATGAGCAGTTAACTTGTGCACTGTGGGTGTAGTCCCACTGTGACACAGGACTTTTTAATTTTCTGGAGTTCAGCTTTATAGGTCCTACGTTTCATGTGACTTTAAATGGTGTGTTTGAACCACGCTGGTCCAAACAATCTAGTTGCATTGCCAGCAGATACACCCACTGCGAGCACTGTTTAAACTGTTTGTAGCATCAGCTATCGCACGTTCTGCCCCTTTTCTGGAACAAAATTGAGTCAGGCTGAGTGCCAGTAGCCTTGAATTTCATCAATGAATACAGGGCTTCCTCTTATTGGCGGATGATGATGTCATGATCTTCACCTCAACAAGTCAAAGGAAGCCTTGAGGAATGACTGTTATGACAGTAATTATACATTGATATACCAATTCACAGCACTGCCCTCTCCCAATGTGTAGTAATTGTGTTAAATATGCAGCATATGAATATACACATCTAAATGTGATCAAAGTCCAATGCAATTTCAACCAAACTGTGTAACGTGCTAATAACTTGGCACAGTCTTTAAACAAAGTGCAGGTGTGCAATCTCATCTTCAATAGTTGGTGTAGGAATCACAAAACCATGCTCCCCTCCAGTGTTCCCTCACTCACCAACTGTTGTTGACCATTAAGCAGAGCAATACGAGTCATTAAGCACTTGGGTTATAAGAATCTTTAACTTGGGCTCTTTTCCTCCCAGGCATCCACTACTCCTCCAGTCTGATTGCAGGGTTCAGTAATTATTAAGGTCATTGCATGTAGGAAGGAAAGCAAAAAAGATCCACATAACATAATTCCGCTGTTGATTAAAACATATTTAAAATAAGTTGCACACACTATGAAAGATGTATAAAAAGGCAGAATAACCGGACCAGAAACTACGCCATGGCGTGCATTCCACCAGCCTGATGTGATGTCATCAGAAGTCCCCACCTATTTATTTATGTGCTGTATGTAATTTAAAATCACTATACGAGTATTTAGAATATTCACAGGGGAGACTGTAGTGCAGATGACACCATTGATCTTTATAGTGGATTCCTATGGGTATACCCAGATCTCTAACCTCTATAAATGCAGCCCAGTGTTTCTTCAAGGAGGTATATTTGAGTGATTGGGTAAAAGTAGATGTGATGTTATCAGTAGTCCCCGCATATTTATTTATTTATGTATGTAATTTAAAATCACTATAAGAGTATTTAGAATATTCACAGGGGAGTCCATAGCGCAGATGACACCTTTGATGTTTATAGTGGATTCCTATGGGTATACCCAGATCTCTAACCTCTATAAATGCAGCCCAGTGTTTCTTCAAGCAGGTATATTTGAGTGATTGGGTAAAAGTAGATGTGATGTTATCAGTAGTCCCCGCATATTTTTTTATTTATGTATGTAATTTAAAATCACTATAAGAGTATTTAGAATATTCACAGGGGAGTCCATAGCGCAGGTGACACCTTTGATGTCTATAGTGGATTCCTATGGGTATACCCAGATCTCTAACCTCTATAAATGCAGCCCATTGTTTCTTCAAGGAGGTATATTTGAGTGATTGGGTAAAAGTAGCTTCAGCTATAAAGAGAGAGCTGCTATACTACTAAATTTCAAATCTGAGCACACAATTTTTTTATTTAATAAGACTTAATTAGTTCTGTTCTTCATTCCACTGACATATAATCATTATTCCAAAACAATATACAGTATAGGACACAAACATACCTACTATTTATAGTAAAAATACAGACTGTATAGTTGAATGTATGGGTACATTCAACTACCAATACAAATACCAATCCTTCCCTAAGTCATTGTTTACAGTATAAATTGTAATGTGCATTACAGTCAAGAGAGAAGAGGGCAGTAAAATCCCAGGAGAAACACAGCCAGGAGGAGATGACAGCAACGTTTTGCACTGACCAGCTTTTAATTGATAGGAAGGTTGTCCTTCAATGTGTTCATGTGAGTAGGGCAATGCATTCTGTTTATGATGAGTAAATGTGTGTTGGCAAATTGTTTGAGGCACAGGTGTTTTAATGTCTTAAAGGTCATATTGATTTTTTTTTTTATTTTAAACTGAGGTTATATTTTTTGCCTATTTTGGAGATAATTGTAAATACTGTTTGTCCATGCTCTAAACAACAGCCATTTTCAGCCCTTTTTGTTATTGCACTGTAGAAAGCCATCCTGCAAAGCATATGCTTATATAATGCAGTATATAGTTATATTTATGGCAGGTTCATGTACAGCTGCATAAGATAAACTACGTATGTAGAACAACTCAGGTGTTGCAGCATTGCTTCACAATTTATACCTGTGTTTGCTATAGCCCCTGCAGATGTCATATTCTGACTATGGCTAAGTCCAAATTGAAGGCAAAACTTTTGTTAAGGACATTTTGACATATGGAGCAGGTGCACTATAAGGGCACATTAGGTGCACCTTTGCCATTGACCAAAGGTAAAGTAATTTGTGAGGAAAAGCAAACTAAAAAAAGAAACGTGAAATAATGTATCTTCTACTAAGGTTTTTAAATACCTAAAATCTTAATTGGTCAGATTAAATAAAACCAGACCTTCTTGTTTGAAAAAGTAAAATACCAAGATAAGGTTTGAATTTAAGAGAGCATAATAATTTTTGTTCTCCTAGAAAGCTACAGTTATGATTAGACTTAACTCTAGCCAGGAGAAGTTATAGCTACAAAATGACAAGCTGCTTAAAGGCATCATGATTCAAACTCCAAGATAAGGATTTTTGGGGGGAAAAATAAGTTCTAGCATTTTCTTATTACCAATTGGAACCACACCAAAGATGCTATTCCAGAAAGTTTTAAATGTATACAATACTCATATGCAGTATACCAGAATATATTGTCAAAATGAGCTAACTAAACATGACAGCTGTCACAGATAATTAGAACTCTGCAATGATCTGGAGCAATAAAATTTGTGAGTCTATAAGATGAAGCAAAATAATTTTAAACATAAAATGTTTGGCTACAACTGCTGGTTTATTCAGGGGGCCTTGGGGGGTGCTGCAGTGAGGAAAAATAATTGAGCTAAGCAAAGTTCAAATAAAAATTAATATTTATAACAACTATCAGACATATTTAATATTAAAGAAAGCATTAACATTTTAAAAACTATGACTGTTTGAGAACAGACATGAATAATAACGCACAGTATCTTTCTAATTTATTTGACCAGTGATATAATAATGGATTTTCCCCGAGTCTGGATGTTTCTCGAATTAAGGGAATCGGGGGTTGCTTTCCTGGACTCAGTCAGTGAGTCTTTCTTTATTCCTGCTTCAACCTAAGCATAGCAGTGAAATGACATGAATATAAGTGTGAAGCTCAGCTTAGCTTTAGTCTCAAAGAGCCCAAGGCATAAGATGAGAAATTGCTTGATCAGGTGTATAGGTATGTATAAAGGTGGCTATTGGGCTCCCAGCTGATTTAAGTAGAAAACCTTCACTTCACCTTCACTATTTTTCCAACCGTGTTAGGCCAGCTCCAGTCTCAACTACCTGCTCTATCCCTTCATTCTCCATGAAAATTGGTTCAAACCGCAGCCAAGTATTTAAAGTGCTTTACAGATTAAGTGGCTTGAGGGTGCTTGATATGAGCCTGAATAACCAATCATCCCCTATGTGTATGGACTGCCTTTAGAGAATCATAGACAGGAGATGAAAATAGTTGGATCAAGAGATGTTTTAATGTCAAAGGGCAGCTTCACACCATTCTGGCTGGTAAACCACGTGGAAGAAAGTGCTTAACCACTTTGTCCCTTTATACCCCTTATGGACCAGATCAGTTTTTCCACTAGGGACCCGTTTATTCTGCAATACCTTTATCATAACTTAAGAAAAGCATACATTATTTTTGAGGACCAAACTAGCGTTTTACGTTTGGCAGTTTTTGCCTTGAAAATTTTATTTTATTTTCTATGTAATCAATAGACCAAAAATATTTTTTTACCAGTGTTAGGTTTGAAAAAAAAATGTTACTGTAAGTAAATCTATAATTATTTGGCTTACTTTTTATTTAAAAAAACTGTTCTTCAAAATGACACTAAAATGTTATTTCTTGTACACATAATTGCATTTACACATGAAAACAATGAGAAAACAAACTCAACAAATAACCTAAAAATAAATGCTATGTGTAAAAAAAAATGATGTAGGACTGATCAGGGTTAATAGGAAGGTCAAATAAGGAATACATTTTATTTTTTTTTTAAAGTTTACTTGGAAGGTTCATTTAACTGATGTTGTATGCAGATCTGATCTACATACTGTATGAATGAAATACATTATTGCATGTCATTACAATGACACTTGCAGACTATCTGTAAGTGTCACTTTAAACAGGAATGGCTGCATCTTGACAACCATTCCTTCTACGTACTGCAAATAATTCCCAGTTGTCATTTTGAGAACTTGTAATTGCTAGTAACAGGGACCAAGGAGCAGTGGCAGGAGGAGAACGACTGAAAATAGGAGATACATGTTATAAAAAGTTTTTTAAGGCGCATCTCTTACGTTAGGGTTCTTAGATTTGTTTAACTGCTGCCCGCCATAGGAAATGATGGGTGGACGGTGGCTGTCTCATTTTGGGAGAACAATATATGACATCCTCCTACTCTACTTACTTGCACGACGATCGGTCCTGAGCTGTGTCCCTGGGTCACAGCGGATCACCAATCGCAGTAAAGAGCAGATGACACTGTCTCTATCATGTGATCAACTGTGTCCAATCACAGCTGATCACATGTAAATAGGAAATGCCGGTTATTGGCTCTCCTTTCCTCATGCTAACAGCATTTCTCAGAGGGGATATCTACACTGATAATCAGGGTACTGATCATCAGTGCCCTGATTTATCAGTACAGCCCCATCAGTGCTGCCATTTAGTGCCCATACTTGCCGCCTGTTAGTGCCCATCAATGCCACATACCAGTGCCCATCAGTGCACATCAATGCCACATATCAGTGCCCATCAGTGCATATCAGTGTCCATCAGAGCTGCCTTTCAGTGCCAACTATCAGTGCCAGTCAGTGACACCTATTAGTGCGAATCAGTGACCCCTTTTAGTGCCGTCTATCAGTGCCCATCAATGCTCATCAATGCCACCTATCAGTGCCAGTCAGTGATGCCTATCAGTGCCAGTCAGTGCTGCCTATCAGTGCTCGCCATTGCCGCCTAATATTTCCAATTAGTGCCACCTATCAGTGTCAGTGCCACCTATCAGTGCTGCCTATCTGTGCCCATCAGTGCTGCCTATCAGTGCCATATATGAGTGCTACCTTTCGGTGCCCATCAGTGATGCCTGTCAATGCCCATCAGTGCCAATCAGTGCCACCGATCAGTGCCACCTATTAGTGCCAATCATTGCTGCTTATCCGTGCCCATCAGTGCCATATATCAGTGCCCTTATGTGCCGCCTTTCATTGTCCAATGATGCCTGTCAGTACCCATCAGTGCTGCCTATCAGTGCCTCTTTATCAGTGCTGTCTATTAGTGCCCATCAGTGCCGCCTATCAGTGCAGCCTATCAGTGCCCATCACTGCAGCCTCATTTGTGCACATTAGTGAAGGAGAAAAATTACTTATTCACAAAATTTTATAACAGAAATTTAAAAAAAACTTTTTTTTTTTTAATTTTCAGTATTTTTTAGTTTGTTTAGCAAAAAATTTTAAAAAAAACCCAGTGGTGGTTAAAAAATTCCTGATCTACAACATATTATTTCTTGTGGTAAGTTTGCACTGGGATGCTTAAAACATGTTGTTTGACCCTTCTTGCATTACCAAAATGGGAGCAGTTGTGTGACCAAAGCATAAAGATACTGTATATCACTGTGAAAGCTGTCCATTCTTTAATAACTGTTCCAGGATTATAATGGCTCATACAAGTTATTAGGATTTGTAGATGATCTAAATGACATTAAAAATACATAAGGCTCCAAATTATTCTTAAAATGGTTAAGAATCATAGTATATATACTTGTTCATTGCATTGCACTCACCTCATGCTGACACATACTTACAGATAAGGCAGAGACTTTGGCTAGCACCCATTGACTTAGACTGTAATGGCTGTAATCTGTGATGGACACAGAATGACGGAAATTGATGGATAGTGACTGTGGCAGATGGTCCGAAAATAACAGATACTGACAGATACATTTCTCAGCATAGAAGCCCCACCCCCACCCAAAATAGAACATCCAAAAGGTAAGGGGTTTTGACTAATGTGGGTGAAAATGACCACAACAGTAGGCTGGACTTAAATGCATGATTTGACAGTCTGACAGGTGCTGGAATCTGTTCAAACTGTATAAAAAGCACATATATATGACATCTTGTACTAATCATACAGATATTATTAGGAAGTATTAGAGCTGCTTCCTAAAGGAGGTGTATTAAATAGAGGCAATATGTGGTATACAGTTATTTCTGACTTGATTATTACTTCTTGACCAACAGTATGCTCACCCTTGCTGAGATTCTATTCTTGTCACAAGCATATACAGTACAATATAACATAAGTTACAGTCTGTGAAGACAAGTAGGTGACAACAGCGAGTTGCTGTAGGATCAAGATACATGTATCTTGATCATTTTGTATTTATTTCTTTTGGTACTCACCTCAGCAAAATACAGAATTTGCTTGCAAAAAAAGATAGTAAACTGTTATATAAACATTACTATCTTCCAGCATTATCTTCACACTGTTAGAAAGATCGGAAATTACAATCCTCTCTCCCTTGATGCTATTGGTATTTTGGTTATTATGCATTGTCTAAAATGTTTTACTGAATTCTTCATTACATATTTAGGAGCCTCATCTGGTGTTATAGACCTACTCCCAACACCCAGTGCCACCACCAACTGGACAGCTGGTCTGCCTATGGATAACAGTGGAATGATCTTCAAGTTTGATGGCAAGCAAGGAGTAAAGATTCCAGATGCCATTGTTCCAAAGAATCTAACTGATCAGTTTACTATCACCATGTGGATGAAGCATGGTCCTAGCCCAGGGTTAAGAGCAGAGAAGGAGACAATACTATGCAATTCTGATAAGACAGGTAACTAATTAGTAAATTCATATAATGTGTGTGTTGTTTTTAAACAATTTCTGCTGCAAATTAAATGGGAAATATCCATTCACTAATTACATTAATATAAATTCTATACAGGCACTGAATGGCGAGCTATGGTTAAAGAAAATTTGTAATTAGCTGGGTCAATGTTATTTTAGTTGGCTAGGCTAGAAATCTACATAATACATACAGTATATTTACTTTATATGTAGCACCCTCCTAGGTAGGTGCTAGGATTTGTATAGTTAGGTTAAGAATAGCTGTGTTTCTGAGATTAACAGAGAGGCTGTTAGGAAAATCTAGCTGGGCTCTCTGTTTAACAGAGTGATGTAATCGATTAGTTAGATTTGCTCATGATGCTCTGGTGCTGCTGAGTTTTCCTTGAGTTCAGCCCACCTTCAGGAAGCTATAAAAGCCTTCCAGAACTTGGGAGTAAACTAGGTAAATTATCAGCATGAATAGCATCCCTGGCCAATTGCAGAGCAGGGCAGTCCCAATGCATGATGGGAGTGGTATTTTCTGTATGTGAGCACATGGGTTCACCATCTTTCCCAGAAGATGACTGAACCAAACAAACTGGAGGCAGGCTTGCCTCACCTGGTACGTGCTGCCATATGGCCTCAGGTGGGTCAACTTGAGGGCCTGAAGTTAGAAACAGTGACCCTGGTTCTTCAGTAAGCTGACTGAGGGGAGATGTCTGCCAAAGCTATGTCTGGTACCACTGGAGGGTTTTGCTTGGAAGATTAGAAGGAGGCAACCATTCTGCCCTTGGGCCTTGTGAGTACAGACATTGAGGAATTTGGGGACTGTGTACTTGTTACCTCCCCTGGTTCTTGATAGTCAGTGTGGGTCTGGAAATGAAAGGGGACACTGGCTAGTGTTCAGAAGAACTTGTCCAATTGTTGCTACTGCAAAGGACTTTGCTTAGCTACGTTACCTTTGGGCTGTCACAGCCTGTCGTAACTGGCTTATACCTGAAGACCGCAGCATTTTAACTACTATTACTAGAAAAAGGGACTTTGCTCACTACCAAGCTACTTGCTTATATGAACTAAAGAGAAGTCTGCTATCTGTTTCAGCCAAGACTTCAAAAGTGCTTAACTAATAGATCAGCTAGATGTCTTCAGTGTGGATAGTTCTAATTTTGGAGTATCCTCCTACAATTCCCCATCCCTACAATAAAACTACAAAAACAAACATCCTCTAGATTGGTCATTGAAGACAAAGGGCAGGTGTGTGTGTATCTGGCTGTGGAAAACATCTTGTGCTTGGCAGCATGGCAAAGAAGGGGGAAGACCTGGGCAAAAATACAAGTAGTCCTCACAAGGGAGGCACTAAATATACATTATTGAACTGTTGTTTTATATCTGTTTTCCCATTTGTCTTATCTCTATTCAATCTCTGTTTTAAAAATAAAGTTTTAATAAATGAAAAAGGTTCCCTGTACTCTATAGCTTAGCTAAAAAGACAGGACAACATGTCAGCTTGTTTGCAGTTTACCTTGCCTGATAGAAACAATAGACTCCATGACTGATAAGAAATGAGCCATTGCATTGATAACTAATTTAAATACTCTAAACAAGGGACATCTTTTGGCACAGCTGAGATGGATGCAATGCTACTGATGGAAAAATAGATCCAGAGCTCCACCTTCTGGCTGGAAAAAAAGCAATACAAAATTACTGACTGATAAAAAATAAAAAAAAAAAGCATTGTTATAAATTGTATTTTTTATGGTGCTGCTTCTGGCAGAATGGATATTTCTACCCAACCTGAATCACAAAAACTAAAAAAAGAAAGTTTTTCTTGTCTAGTAATGCACTGTAATTTTAAATTCAGGAGGGTAAGTGACAACAGGGACTGAATTTGTTTAATTGGAGAATACTATAATCTAAAATATAAGTTCAATTTTTAATTGCTTAGTTGCATGAGATCCTTTACTTAGGCAGGCCATAGATTATGTGATTTTCTTTTCTGCAACAATAGGTTGCAGGGAAAAAAATCACTCAATTTCAAGATGTTATTTATAAAATAGGAAATCTTCACTTTTAGAGTTCAGGTCCTCTTTAAGTTATAACAAGTCAACAATTGTGCTCTATAATGCAATCACCGGCCACACTTCCTATTTGCTGGTTCTTGCTCTGTACCTTTTTATTCATATGCTTTACCACTGGTTTTTACTGTTGTACTATTTGTATTGTTTTGTATTACTGGCCTATTGCAGTAATGGGTCTATACATATTAAGTGAAAGTGGACCTGACTAGCACCAGTGACCTGAAATCTTGGATGGCAGTTAGGATAACTTCCAACCTGGGATCTTCCAAGTGGTAACTTAAAATCAAAGCAGGTTTGATTTACCTAAGCAAAATTGATTGATTTTGGATTCTTTGCTATTGTATTACACATATATATATATATATATATATATATATATATAAATTAAACCCTATATATATATATATATATATATATATATATATATACAAATGCTCTTCGTTGAGTGTCTATGTACTTCTCTTGTAGAAATGAATCGCCATCACTATGCATTGTACGTACACAACTGCCGTCTTGTTTTCCTGTTACGCCGTGATTTTGACCAAGCTGACACGTTCAGACCTGCAGAGTTTCATTGGAAATTAGATCAGGTAGGAGATTTTTCTTTCTCCACTCTGTGGAATTTGAGAATCATTTTTTTTGTTCAGTTTGCAGGCCTAGTGTGAACAAATGAATATAACTGTGTCCCCTACAGCTTTGTACAACCTCTGTTAGCAGAGAGGTCACTTTCCGAGCCTTTCCAGAAGGAACATTGACAAGTGGTCCTTTTAGAAGGTGCAGGCAAACCGCAAAGTCCGTGTTTAGTGTTTGTTCTGCTGTGCTTAATGATTGTATTGCCACATGTTATTGACTGTAGTTTACTGATCAATATATCATTATTTATGGCACAGCTCCCATTTATAAAATGTTCAACTAGAAAACACACCAGAATATCTCTATCTCAGTTAGAACGGCAGCTTTGTATTGACTATATTGTTCAGTGTCTTAGGGCATTTCTCAGTCTATATTTATTATTCTGAAAGCATGCAGTATACTTATGTTCATTATTTATCATTGATGTATTGCAGGTAGTTCTGGTTTGCACTTCTGTGTAATTTTGCTGTTAAGTCTCATTGTGCTTTTATGTTTTTGTCAAATTTTCACTATGG